GTCATCCTTACCTGAGGTAGATCTGGAAGGATCTTTTCATGGCTAAGACTAAACAGTTATTTGTTGCCAAGTTGGCCCTTAATATGACTCAGTTTGGAAAATGAATCACTGTATCATGATGCCAAAAGACATGATGGGTCCACACAACTGAAGACTCACTTCACAATAATTCTTTAGTTCACTGAGGTGTGCCTCTTTGGGTTAGACCAGGCTTTCTCAACTTGGGTACCACTGACATTTGGCACCGGATAATTCTTTGTAGGGGTCTATCCTGTGCATGGTAGTAACAGCATCTCTGGAAACACTGGGTTCAGCAAATGTAAAGGTCACCCAGTGTGTAATATACTTTGCAATTTCCACTTATACTGCTTCTTCAGAGACAGAAGCCTCTTGGGTATTAAAGGGCCCTGTGTATACAAAGTAATGTGATAGGGGAGGGCAAGCCTCTGCTGGTGGAGAGATTCTAAACTAGCTATCATGGCAGTCATATTCTTTTGAAATTTCAAATTAACCTGTAAGGGATATAATTTTTTTTGTGTGTGTGTTTATTTAAGACTCACAAACTCACATGGTAGTAAAAAGGTCTCTGTTTTACAGATAGGAAAACTGTGGTTCATAAAAGTTAAGGGTGCTTGCCAGTGTAGGTCTATGGTTAGAGCATCAGGTCACACACCAAAAGGTTGAGGGTTCAATTCCCAGTCAAGGTCACATACCTTTGTTGCAGGTTCTATCCTCAGCCTTGGTCGGGCATGTGTGGGAGTCAACCAAGCAATGTATCTCTCTCATTGATGTTTTTATTTTCTCTCTCTCTCCCATCACTACCTCCCTTTTGCTCTCTAAAAATCAATAGGAAAAATATCCTCAGGTGAGGATTAACCAAAAGAAAAAGTTAAGGAACTTGCTCAACTGAAAACTATCATGTGCTTCTTTGGAATTTCCAGTAAGTATTTATAATCCCATATACTTTAATTCCTTTTGACAAGTTGATTTTTTAAAATCTCAAATATTGAACCTACTAAAAGAGGTATTCAATAAAATATTTTCATAAGTTAACACACTACTTCATGCTGATCTATGGGCTTTTGTAGCAAAAGGATCCATGCCCTTTCCAAAGACAATTTACACTCAATGCTGTGGGGACTGACCTCCTTCCATGGATATTACGTAGGGAGGTGTGATACACTACACTGTATCTACAGGGTTGAAACTTGGCTGGCATAGCCTGCTGATGTCCTTTGCAGAAGTAGTTAAAAGTCAATTCACAGTCTATTTTTAAAAAATCTGAAAAGCAGGGAGATAAAAACAACGCAGTGATATAAACTAAGTGCAAAACTGATAATGATGACCACAGAACTGGAGTAGCAGCTGCGATGAGTGTGGACTTGTGTATAGTTCCGCTCAGTTACCCTGTGCATGTTTATTTCCAAAGATAATTCTTAGTTTTGGTGACAGAAATGCTATAAGAATATGGAAAACAAATCCACAAAAAGGCCTAAAACCCAACTTTAAGGAAGATTTTAAATGTCATCACTAACAACCCAGACTTGTACCACCGACTTTCTGGAAATGCTTGTTATTTAGCATCTGATAAAAGTGCTAATGTACACTTAAATAGTTTCAAGTCAAGGTAACAAGCCACAGCAGAAATGCACCTAATAATATGTACCTGAAATAACTAAGATTTTTTCATAATACTTTCGGACAACTATATATTTCTACTTATCTCTAGCAAAAGCAAAATGGAAACCAGCACATTGCATGGCCGTTTGTTGATTATTCATGGTATTTGAATTCTGACCCCAAACATGTCCTTCAGTGAATGATAAAAAACAAATGGACAAACACCACAAAAAGTCTTTCTCCAGAAATAGATCACATACTGACCTCTCCTGGTCCCGTGGAACTGAAGTGACAAGCACAGGGGAAAAAAGCAAAGCCTCTGCCAATACCAGGAAATAGCCCCATCCTCTAGGAGGGCAGGCTGGCATGAATAATCACTACCACACTTTTGCAGCACAAACAAGAAATGAAATTGCTCTTTTCCCTACTAATCACAAAGCGAATGGTAGTGTGCTCCTGGAGCAACTCCCCAGATGATTTTGAATACATTTCTGTATATACATGTCACAGCACGCACCCTAACACTGGCAAACTGTGATGGCGGTGGTTACAACGCCTCTTCCCTCCTGGAGGGCTTCTCTCATGCACTCAGGCTGGGTTAGATGCTCTTCAACATTTTTCACCTACTGAGACCTGAAGGATGAGCGGCTAGTTGCTGGTTGGACAGAGAGTGAGAACAAATATGTATCAGTTTGGCTGCACTGTGGTGTAATTTTCTCTCCAATTATCTGGCTGTTCATTTGAGGATTGATAATACCTCACCGTCATGCTTATTGTAAAGATTAGAAATAGCACAGGGAACTTGGTATGGGGGCTTCATCATTGGTAGTGGCTGTTAATGAAAATTACATTCATTTTGTGAGTGTGGCTTTTACAGTTGTCTACTGTATCTAGGCAACGTTCCAGGATATTAGCATCATTTTTCATTCTCTATTCAATCACCTCTTTGTTGAGTTGTAGCATTTCATAAACTTCTCTAGCCTATCAGCATGAAAATTAAAATCTATGTCAGTGATATAATAGAGGCATTTTTCTCCATTTGAAGACTACGTGTTCTCTAATAGGTCATTCTAGGACTAAAATTCTGATATTTTATAATGAAGAGGGCCATTTCTATTCTTTCCTATGTTCTATTGTACTTGGTTGTTAGGTACAGTGTTTTCTATTGCCCCATATTACTTATGTTCTGAAATTACTATAATTATGCACTGTAATTGCAAAGGCTGAGCTAGAACATCAAGTACTAGTTTTATGAGTTCTTTTTAAAAAATCTACAGTGAATCTTCCATCTGAGAAATCAAAAATAGCAGGCTGATTTATCAGCAAGGCTGCTGGTTACAAACATGACAATGCTATTAAGTTCTGATCTAGCAGTTAGTTCTTTGTGCCAAAGGCTCTCCACTGGTTGCCATGGCCCAGGGGTCACTGACAGGCTGCTACTGTAGACCACCTGTGCACCCATAAAACAAAAGAACACAGAGCCAAATGTAACTTCCATCTCGTTCCACTTCCCAACACTCAGATGACGAAGGCAGGGTACAGAGTCAGCTTGCCAAGATGAAGTAAACAGCAATAAAGACCTTTTCAATTAAGGCATCATATGATCTCTTGGAAGCAGGAAGGTGCTACCTCAGGACAGCACTCAATTTGTCACAACTGAAATTCAGGCCCCAAGACTGGGCTGTTTCCACCATTTTCTTTCTCTCTAAGACTTAGAGGTGTCAGTGCCTCAGTCTCAACTCTCTAATACCCAGGGACAACCTTTACTCCAAGGTCCACGGGAAAGGTAGATTCAGGTTGGAGTCCTTGATCCCCTCAATTCAGTCACCTTGAAGTGCCTCAGCCCTGCAGAAAGATCTGATGTATTATAGGGACCTGAGTGTGTATATGTTAACATGATTACTGTCCTTCTTCACAAATGTGATGTCACTTCCTTTTGCCTTGTAGTCTGGGGGGAAGGAACTATGGGAATGATAACCAAATGTGGGTAGGGTCAGGGGAGAGGAGTTATCTCATCTTTCCACTGTCATTAGTGAAGGTTCTAGTCATAGCCACTTATTGACAATTGGACCTTGGGAAATTTTAAGTAAAAGAGGAATTTGGATTACATTGTCCTAAGGTCCTTTCTAATTTAAAAAATTCTATGGTCCTTTAATTTTACTCTTCCAGGTTGAACATGCAAGCATATACATGATACCAAATATATAACACTTTATTATTTATGCTCTGCATCTTTGAATAGCTGACCCAAAGCAATGGAAGTTAGAGTACAACCATGTTAAGCTTTGAGCCACCTCACCATTAGGAGCAGGGCTGTGAAGCAGAAGTATGCAATTGCAAGAAAACTCTATTCACTCAGCTCCTGATAAGACATGAAGCATTAGCCTCTATTCTTTTTTCAGAGCAATTAAGATAAAATGAGGGAAAGAGATTAAAAATGTAGGTTTCCTTGGAGCAGAGACTCTTATGGGGATTGTTGATTGGTTAAAGTGCCCTGGGAAGGAAAGGATGATGTGAAGGAAAGAAGGGAATAAACTGTGACTTCAGAACAATGGTCTTTTACTCCCAGGTCCCCAACCCACTACTTGATCTCAAAGAAAATGCTTAGGAAAGGACACTAACTCCCTCAGGTCAATGAATCAAGCTTGGGTGTTCAATTCTCACACCTAAAACAAGAAATGTCCGAATTTCCAATGACCCAATCAATCCTTTCTCTGGCTGGAATTTTCCCTGAAGTAGGCTCAGTGCTTGGTAGGCTATTCACCCTTTTTGGTCAGAAACTCATTTATTAAAAACCAAGTGTTCTTCTATTAGTACATGTTATTCCTTGCCATTGCATTCTTCCTCCCTCTTGGCCTCAACCACAAGAAACAGTCTAGAAACTTCAGCCAGGTCCCCAAGAGCCCAGACTGATCTCCAGTTGGTGGCTGTGAACTTGCACAGAGACTTCCTTCAAGAAGTGTGGTCTTCAAATACACAGTCCACGGATTAAACTAACATTTAATGATAAACAACTGCTATATTGTTTGAGCCAGTTCCATGAAACAAAATAAAACTCCCTTATAAATGGAATATATACTTATGGAGGAAAATCTTTTTTACATTTGTCCCTATAGTATTTTATACTCATTAAATTACAAAATGCCAAGAGGCCTTTTAAAAGGCTTTAATGTTTATCCTTTGTTTTCTGAGTCAGAGAGTGGAAAAAAAAAGAATTCATTACTGCTTTGAATCCTTAAGGCTATTAATTTCACTCTTGTCTCAGAAAGAAGACAAAATAGGTATTTAAATGACCCAAATAATAACAACTCACATTCAAGGTGCTGGCTCCATAGTCTATATTTATACTTTATGACATTTGACCCAACTTTAAAGCCTACCTCCTTCTCTCTCCTGCTCATCCTCTTCTTCTTTAAGCAGCTTGCCAACGGAATTATACCACTTGAATTGTGGATCAGGGATGCCATTAACACTACAATTAATCAAGGCACTATTCCCTTCCTTGACTATGATATGGTCAGTTCTGGCAATGATTACGGGCATAAAGCCCAAGACCATGTCAGTGCCATTTAAAGTGCTGTTAGTCATACTCTTTGCAGTCGCTAAAGTGGATACTAGGATTAAAAAGGGCACAGAAGGTAGAAAGCACACAGGCAGATGGCTCTTCAATCGATCCATCTTCTTTGCTTGCTCTGTAAGGCAACAGAGATGGTTTGCCAGTGGGATCTTGTATCAGACAGCACGTTGTTCACAGCAGGCCATGGGACAAACCTGACTTGGGCCCATAAAGTTGGTTCTTGATTAAGAACCTGTTAAAACAAACCACACACACATAAATATTAGCATTTGTAGTTTAAAAATATTATTTATAAAATGTCAGAAACCCAGCTCAAATACCTACAAAATGTTTAAACAATACACAAATTCAGATGTTCCAAATAGTAAATTGCATTTTCCCCAGGAATCCTAACAAATAATTAGTATTTTTACTACTGAAATATGTAGTGATGAATAGGAACAAATACATATTTCTTACAAATATATCACATTACTTCAGAAAGTTAAAAGACTGATTCGGGCTTCTTTTGTTTAGCATTACAATGTCTCTTTCCACCCCATTGCCCGTCTTCATTGTGGATGAACTGACTGTTTACTTGGGTGGTTCCTTAACCAGTTTTCTTCCAGTGAACATGACTGCCTGTCTGTGTCAGTGGTCACAGCCCTGCCAACAAAGGGAAGGGCTCCACCAGAATCAGTCTGGCATTCTCCTAAGTCTCCATTATGGCTTCCAGGATGCGCCTTCCCTTTCATGCAGTTGCCCCTGTTCTTTGAGCTTTACGGCATCTGACTCTCTGTTTTATGTTTTTGTTATCTATCGACTCATGATCACTCACTGAATTCCCTAGTTTCTTCATCTGCCTCACAGAGACTGGTGAAAATTAGTATGTAGACAGTGACATGATGGGTGGCAGTACTTCCATGACCAAAAATCTAACTTTCTCCTACATCTCTATCCTCTGTTTGACCACTAATCATTCAGCCCACGCTCTAGAACTTTCATCTGTCCAAATTCTAAATTCTGAAGTTCCAAGTAATTCTGAAGTTTTAAGTAACTATTTTGAACTGCACCCTACCATTCCTCCAGATCTCTTATTCCTCTTACTGGACTTTCTAGCCCTCCCTCTCTTTTTTTTCCCCCTCTCAGTCTCTATCTTCCTTCCTGCCCCCTTTCATGTTCCAATCTGTCTCAGTCTAGACCTGTTCTTATAGACCACAATCCTCAACGTCTTCACCCTCTGTTCTCTGTTGCCATGACTCTGCCAGCATATACTGGAGATAATCATACAACCACGTTATTGCCAAATTAAGGAACCATTTCCAACCCCAGCCAGGTTTCTGGTGACATCTGGCAATCTGTTATCAGGGCTTCATAGGTTCAGTAGCTGCTTTTCACAATGCTATGGATATCTTCAGCTTTCAAATCAAGCATCATAGCCCAGTTCTGTTCTCAAAAGGCACTTTTCTCATACTAATATTTGTAGGCACGAATTCCCACTTTCATTTAAAAAAAAAATATCCTGCATTTTGCCCTAAATTCCTCCCCTTCGAATTACTTTAAATACCCAATTCTGTATTTTGCCTGCACTTCATTGAAACAGCTCTTGTTGAAGTCACCAGTCACTCCTCATTGCTAAGTTTTCAATCTTTCTCTTGCCAAATCTCTGTGGTGATCACCACTATTAACTCTTTTTTTTTTTTTTTTTCAAACTCTCTCTAAGCTGCTGCACTATTACTCCCCCTGCCTGATCTTACTATTCTGTACCAGTTCCTCTTCTTCCTCATCCTTGAAAGTTAGTTAACCCCCAGAGTTTCATCACTGGCTCTCTTTTCCTTTTACTCACAGCTCTTCCTAAAGTTCCATTCTTTTGCCTTTATTACTACCTCCAATCTGACAGTTTTCAAATCCATGTTTTCAGACCTGACTTTTTTCTAGGTTTCAGACTGGTATTACTAACTGCCCAAAAGACATCTCTGCCAGAATGTTCTGACGGTAACTCAAAATTAACATTCCCAAACAAATTCATCTCATCTGCTGAACATGTTACATTGTCTGGTTCCTTATTTCAGCTTAGGGCAGCACCATCCACACAAGCATGAATGGATATTAGTCCTTAATTCAACTGTTGTTCTTAATCCCATAGAACATAAGTAATTATAAGCTGTTGATCCCAGCTCTTAAATGTTGCTTGTATTGTTCCATCCTTTCAATCACCTTTGAGAGAGCCTTAGTTCAGGCCTCCCTATCTTCTTACCAGAAATGGTGTGGTAGCCTTCTACAGGATCTGCCTTCAATCTCTCCCCAACTCCAAATTCAGTCCCTATAACCATTCTACAGCACAAATTATATGGTGCCATTTCTTTACTTAGCAACCTTCAATGTCTCTGAACTGTCTGCATTATAGAATCTGAATTCCTTACCCTTTTTATTCACTCAAAAATTATTATTGAATGCCTACTATTAGGCAGACACTATTTTAGTCCTATAGATAGTAGAGAAGACAGACCTTTTCTATTATGTGGAGATTATATTCTCAAAGGGGGAGGGTAGGGGAGCAAAAAATAAATAAATGCCATGTAAGTAAAATTTCAACTAATGATGCTTTGAAAACACACCATATGCACTTGAGTGATGAATTAGGCAATCTGGGAAACTGCACCAAGGAGGTAGCCACTGAGCTGGGGTGCTTTAGGAATCAGCCACACCTAGATCCAGGAGAAGAGCATTCCAGGAAGAAGGAACTTCAAAAGCAAACAGGTGACAAGATGGGTCTTAGAAGTAGAAAAACTTAGGCCACCTAGGGGTTTGCAGGACAAGGTGAAGAGTTTGGATTTTATCTAACATTCATTGTCATTTTCCAATGAATATGACTCCAAAAAATGTGATTTATTTTTTAAAATCAACTTTACTGTGGTATAACTTATAAGCAATAAATTTATACCCATTTTGGGTATGTATTTTAATGGGTTTCGACAAATTTATACACCATTGTAACTACTATAATAAACAAGATGGAGGACGTTTCAATAATTACCAACAGTTATCCTTTGTCCCTTCCCAGTTGTAGTTTTTACACTGATCCATTTTAATTCTTATTATTATTTTAATATATTTTTTATTGATTTCAAAGAGAGGAAGGAAGAAAGAATTAGAAACATCAATGAGAGAGAACCATTGGTTGGCTGCTTCTTGCATGCTTCCTAGTGGGGATCAAGCATGAAACTGGGGCATGTGCCCTGACCAGGAATTGAACTGTGACCTCCTGGTTCATGGGTTGATGCTCAACCTGAGCCACACCAGCCAGACTATTCCAGTTATTTTTGTGTATGGAATGAGGTATGGATTGAGGTTTATTCCCCCTCCCACCCTCAAATGGACATCCAGTTGTTTTCAGCTCTGTTTGTAAACAGACTTTCTTTCTTTCTTTTTTTGGTTAATCTTCACCTAAGGATATTTTCCCATTGATTTTTTAGAGCAAGTGGAAGAGAGAGGGAAAGACAGAGAGAAATATCAACGTCAGAGAAAAACATGGATTGGTTGCCTCCTGCATGCGCCCTAACCAGGGCCTGGGCTCAGGAGGAGCCTGCAATTGAGGTATGTACCCTTGATCAGAATTGAACCTGGGACCCTTTGGTCTGCAGAACAACGCTCTATCCACTGAGCAAAACTGGCTTGGGCAAAAAGACTATCCTTTCTACAATGGATTATTTTGCCTTCTTGTAAAAAAAGAATATATTTATAAATTCTTTATTCTGTTTCACTAATATTTACGTCTATTCTTATGCCAATATCGCACTGACCATACTATTTGCCTCATTGATTTTGGTATCTGCAGTGTCTGAAGTTGCCCTTGACACTTGCAGTGCTCAGTGAATTGCTGAATGAATGAGTCTCTCTCCAAAGGCAGAAATTATTATTCCAATCCCGTAGACAATAAAAGTGAGGAGGTGCTAGGGGTGAGGGTGATAAATTAGCTTCAGACCATAGATTAGTTCACTGGGAAAGAGGAGAGTTCTTAGCGCTCTAGGTGTCCACATTCCCGCCTGCTAGGGTGCCTTCCTGCCCCAGGAAGGCCAGCTCATTACTCCACCCACAGGAATCGCGTGGCTGAGGGAGATAGCACAGGCTCGGGGCATGCCAGATACCCTGCTATGACTGTGTAAATGTTTTCCTTTATTTGGCCAAATGCGGGGTTTCCTTTGAACAGGGAGGTTGTAAATGTGAACTATTGGATACAGAATGGTTGTGAAGAGCATGGCCTCAGGTTTTAGATAGATTGGGCCAGGATCCTGGATCTAGCCACCTTAATAGGCTGTGTTTTTCTGGCCAAGTCCTTACCAAATCCAGGGCAATTATAATGATTCATGGCCATAAAGCATTTATATACTGCTTGGCTTGATAAACAGGAATTATCAACACAATGTACACAGCATCCTTTACTGAAATCATGCTTCTCAAGTTGATTTTCATTTTATCCTTCAGATTGTATCACTTAAAAGACAGACCTTCTGTTTGGTTTTGTTTAAGACACTACTGATTGTCATCCTACCACTAGAAATAATTAGAAGCGATTTTCAGCACTGGGTCCTTGTGCAGGACTCAAGTGTGAAAATATATGAGTTGTCCCATTAGGCAGACGCTGCAGTGAGCATTTTATGGGTACAGCTGGGGTCACTCATCTGGGACTCTCCAATGCGTAGGTCAGAATTTAGATGCCCAACTAAATTCCCTTGGGAGGGAATGAGAGACAGGACAAAGTGGAGGATAGAATCTAATAAATGTACAGTAAGTATATTGCAGCATTTTGCCCGCCCCCACAATTAAAGAGAATGCATCCCATGGAAAGATCAAACTGATTAAAATGCATAACTCAAGAGCTATTTTCAAACAAAGGCCAGCCACATTGGGTTATACTTTCAAACACATTGTGCTGGCAAGAAGAAAGAGAAGGGGATACTGCTTGTTGTTCTAGTTTATTTTAATAATGTCGTAGGAGCTTTGGGCTAGAAACAGTAACCCTTTCTGAAGCTGCATCTAGTTCCCTCAGAGACCTTGAGATGTACAGAGAAAGACTGTCACTGGAATGCAAGAATTTCGGTTAGCAAACTCACTCCTCCCTCTCCCCATTCTCTCTCCTCCTTTTTCATTTTGAAAAGTTACTAAGATAACAGAAAACATAATGCATAATTTATAGGTTGTTTGTATCAAAGCATGTTTATCCTAAACCTCTCTGTGAACATTTATTTTTGA